GGTGTCGAATGACCCTTTCACAGGGGTCACCTGAGTCCTAACAGTAGCAACAAAATGACAGTGATGAATTAGCAACGAAAATAATTTTATGGTTGGGGGGGGTGTGTTACCACAACATGAGGAACTGTATGAAAGGACCACTGCCCTAGACTAAGATGGACCAGGAAACCCTCAGGACACCGCGGTCTGTCTCGCTGGGCAGGGGCTTGTCAGGAGCTGGGGCGCGGGACTGGACCGCGGCGAAGGATGGCAACATGAATGACCCGGATGATGGAGTCAAGGTCAGGAAAATGCTCAGTGCCCTCAATGTCCAAGGTTCGTCAGGTGTGCCATGGGGGAGGGGCGTCATGGACCCCAACCCTCAACCAAGGGGTAGGTGAGTATTAGAGTCAGATTACAGGTGGGGAAAGTGAGGCGCAGTGTGGCTGTACCTGCAAGGAACCCTCTGGGGCCTTCCTCCCTCTGGATGAAGTGGGAGGCGGCTCCGGGAACCAAAGGGTCACCGAGAGGGGCATTTTGGGCTTTTGCGCCTATTCTTGGAGACAGGGGATGTCGTGGTGAGTCAGCAGTGGGACTCGACTGGGGGGGCTGCCAACGAGCAGGGCACACGTCAACCAGAGACACCTGACATGACAGAAAGCGCAGGGGCTTACAGCCACACTCTAAAGGCACCAGCGGTGCCAGCTGTGTCAGTGTTCGGGACGACGCTCTTCCGCAGGAGCTTGGCGCTTGGGCAGAGGAGCAGGGAAAGGCACTTGTGTGGGTGTTCCCCCTCGGGGCCAGCCGTTGCCCCCCAACACAAACCCGCATGTACGGCCACTCTCCCCCACACACACCCCCAGAGGAGGCATGGCCCTGCCCACAATGACAGCAGGTGTTTAGTAAATATTTGATAAATAATAAGAGAATAAAGTCATGATCATGGCTTCAGAGTGACCGCTGGGAAAGCTGGCCAAGGAGTCTGGCAGGAATTCCCTCTCCAGGGAAGGGGTGGCTTCCAGGAGGGGGATCCCAAGGGAGCTGTAGGAGGTGACCCCCCCAAGAGAGCTCTCTCTCACTTGAGCCTGGAGTCAGAATGAACCCCAGGCAGGCGTCCCTGAGTTCACCTTGAGACCTGCCTGTAACTAAAGTTCCGTTGTTTACTGCAATTGGTGGGAGGCTGAGGCCAGGGCCACCGGGGACCTCCTGCTGTGAAGTCCACCTGGCAGGGACTCTTAAGTGCCAAAAGGCTCGGCTAGCATGTTCTCCTCAGTCCACAAAAGGCTTGCCCCTGGTCCTCTGGTTGTCTAACTGTGAGGTCTGGGGGGTCGGGCTGGCCTCGGAGGGCATGAGCTCTGTGCCAGGCCCTTCCGGGGCCTCCCCATCCGCTGCCACCTGGTCCTCTTCCTCCTCCTCCTCTTCCTCCTCCGCCTCCTCCAAGGTCAGCCCAAACTGGAACCTGTCAAGACCGGCCCGCTGGGGGCTGTTGGGGGCTGGGGGGCTGCGGGGGATCTTGCTCTGGTACCACTCTCGGTTATCTTCCAGGGTATCCAGCAGGTCCTGGGCATCCGGGTGCACCAGGTCGGCCCATGTCTCCCACAGCGGGTGGGCGATGTAGTCAATGAAACCAACCTGTGAGATGGGGGTGGGGGGAGGTGCACAGTAGTGAGTTGCCATAGACCCTCGACCCAATCCAGCCTCCAGGCCCTGACTCTAGTGTTCCGTCTGTCCAGAATGCCTTACCCAACCCCTACATATCTGTGGTAGTTACATCATCTGTTGTCAGTTGGAGACTTAAGAGCGAAGGGGTGGAGTTTAGCCTGTCAATCAGGTCACAGCTTGATGACCTCATTTGGAGGTGCTAAGATAACTAGCTCACTGGAGGTGGGACACATGCTCACTCCCTGTGAGACCTTCCCGTTGAGAAGACACAGTGGGCTATGCTAGAGCCCTGGAGCTGGAGAAGCCACGTGGAGACCCCTGTCAGCGCTGATGCTTCCACTGCCACTGGGTCCACAAGACTTTCCACCCACTGGCCTGTGGTCTTCCTGCACTCGGAATTTACAGACTGGTACAGGACACCGAAGCTAATATCGGACTTATGGACTTGATCTGGACTGGGCTGGGATGTTTTCTTCATGTTCAATCACTCTATAGAAAGCTCTTTCCTCTACACATATGAGTGTCTATGAATTCGTTTCTCTAGTCTACCAGGACAAACACAACATCCTTCAAAACTCAATTTAAACAACCCCTCTTCTAGGAAGACATCTCCTGCCCCATCGGCGCTCCCCTGCCCTGACCCCATGGTGGCCTTTGCCCTTGGACCTGGGACTTCTCCACGGAGGCCGTGTGCTTGTCGCACATGGGGCTGATGTCCAGGCCTAGCTCACGCTCACGGTCGCCCTGCTGGAAGAACTCGGCCATGACGCGCTCTGTCCACTGGCGGTACAGGGGCAGCGGCTTGGTGGGGTTGCTGAGGTCAGCACAGTGTACCAGGTTCTGCAGGACCTGGGGAGAAGGAGACTCGGGAGGGTGCAGTCTGAGCCCCCCTCAGGCCTGGAGTCCCCCCTCCCCATACCACGGCCCATTTTAAGTGGGAAAGGGGAGGCCCGGAAGGGGAAGGGCACGTGATTCTCAGCACCTCCCTCTGGACACACCGCGGGCGCTTTACGGCTGCTGGGACGGCTGAGCCCAGACAAGGCCACGCACCTGGATCCGGTCTGAGTAGTTGTCCAGCAGCAGGACGCCCAGGCTGGCCACCTTCTTGGTCTCCACCATGGTCTTCAGGTCGGCCAGCAGGTTCATGTGCTTGGACATGTCTGTGGCCAGCACCTGAGGGGTTGGGGGAGGGATGAGAGGACCCTGCCTCTCCTGCACCGCCCCCAGATACCACTCCGGTTCCCACCCTCAGCCCGCTGAGCCTCAGTGTCCTCCTCTATGAAATCAGAGGTGGGTGGGGGCAGGAAATGCAGCGAGACGCAGCCGCCAACGCAGGCCTCTGGTCACAAAGCGCCAAGCTCAACTCACGGCCGTCAAGTCGGTGCCCACCCCATAAGACAGGGTAGAACTGACCCTGTGCGTTTCTGAGGCTGTAACTCTCGACAGGAGTAGAAAGCTCTTTCTCCGGTGGAGAGGCCGGTGGTTTTGAACTGCTGGCCCTAAGGTTAGCTCGGCACGTCAGCACTGTGCACCAGGGCTCCTGGCCCAGAGCACCGAGTAAATCCAAACCACACCAGCTGCTGCCAAGCGGATTCTGGCTCACGGTGACCGAGGTGTCAGAATAAAACTGCTCCTTTGGGGGGTTTAGAAGCCGGTTTATGGGAAGCAAGTCACCAGTCCTTCCCTGGGAGGCCCGCCTGGCTGGACCGGAACCACCAGGCTTTCAGCTCAGTAGGTCATTGTGCCATTCAGGGGGTCTGGGTACACAGTAGGTGGTTCTAAAAAGGTTTGTTTATCGAATAAATCAAGGAGTGTGGCGTGAGATGCCCCCAAAGGTATGGGTGTCTCCCACCTGAAAAATATCAGCGTCATAAAGGGAAAATATCAGCGTCAGTTGGAGGGAAGTTGCCTCCTTCGTGTGTGCACTGCAGCCAGGCTTTGATGGGCAGGACGCAGGGCTTGGCTGGTCACTGCTGTTTCAGAGACAGCTGAGCAAGCAGACAGGTCCCCATCTGACAGACCCCCTGGCCCTACCCAGCCCGCCTCAGCCGGCTTCGTCCCCGTCCCCTCACCAGGTCGATGACCATTCTCCGCAGGCTCAGCCGCTGCTTGGCGCTGAGGTTCTGGAAGATGTCACAGTGCTTTGTCTGCAGCAGCTTGAAGCCCACAGCCAGGTGGTGGTTCTCCAACACGGAGGTGTCATTGTACATGAGCGCAAGCTCCGAGTCTGCGGGGAAGCCGGGAGTTTTGAGACCCACCCACCTAACCGACCCCCCCAAAGGCAGGTTTGGAAAATTCTTGGCAAACTCCTGCATATGTGTTGAAGCCTCAGCTTCGATATCAACTTCCAGGATCCTCCCTCTCTCTGGCCTTACTTGATCTCCACTTGCCCTTCCCATCCGCTCACCCCAAAACAGGTTTGGGGAACCCTTGGCAAACTCCTACACCTATGTGGTAGCCCAATCTAAAATGCCCTTTCCACCAGGAATACTGCTTCTCCTCCTGGCCCTGCTGTGCCTCAGTGGATATTGGGGTGTCTATGTTTGGTTCTGTTTCCCGGAGACTAGGGGTCTCCAGGATTCCAGAAAGAGCAGAGAGCAGGGTGGGGGCTCCAACTCACTGGTGTTGATCAGAAACTGGTTGGAGACTCCGGGATGGTCCACATCGTGAATGGCACTTGCAAAGATGGCAGCCAGGATTTCCATATCTGTGAACACACCCTGGGTGGGGACAGGGCACAGGGAGGGGTAAGGGCAGGCTCTTCAAAGGCACCTGGCCCCCAGCAAACACCCAGTAGGGCCATACCTCAAGGGCAGGTGTGGCCAGCAAAACGTGTGTGGACTGCGCCACGTCGGCGGCATGTAAGCTGTTGTGGTAAGCCACGTCAGCTTGGTAGTGGCCCTCCAGCATCAGCAGGTAGGTGACAAGTGTGTCCGCTGGGATCCGGAATGTCTTGAGCAGGTCCCGCTCCTGGTTCATGGCAGGCCCCAGGTCAGGGCCGCAGCTACTCCTTCTGAACTTCTATCCATCCCTCAAACAGCTCTGCCTCTCACGATACCCTCCCTGCTCTCTCGCAGTCCCTGTCCCTTCCCCTTCTGGTCTACACCTCACTCCACAGGACTAAGGGAATCAGTGTCCAGCTATTCTCTCCAGACTGGGCCTCTTCAGGTTGAGGCTTAGTGACAATAATCCCCACCCCCACCCCCCACGCAATGTAACAAACTCCTATTCATCCTTCAAAACCCGGTCCAAATGACCCACTGAGGACTGTCAGAGAGGATTTGAAGAATGAGTGTTCCCTGAGGTCTAGGGGTAGGAAAAGGGCTCCTGGGGGTGATATTGGAAGTCAAGCGCAGGGGAGGTACCTGAAAGATGCTGAACATGATGGCTGTGAGGGGCTGGTTCTTGCTTAGCTCTGCAACCTTGAACACATCAAGCCCCCACTTGTTGGTGTCTTCTAGCTCCTACAGTGGGAAGGACGGCAGTTTACCCCCAGCCTGATTCCTCCAGGCTCTGGACCCTCAGCCTCCCAGGCCCCACAGTAAGCCCCACCTGGCTGGTCTACAGGTGGGCAAAGTAGGCCCAAGATAAGACATCTATCTGAATGGAGCCAGGACTGAAACCCAGGTCTCGCTGTCCCCCTGGGGGACTCACCTTGGCCAATTGTTCCTCTTGGTCGGTCTGGACACCGAATCGAGGGACAGTGGCAGCAGAGAGGCTGGCACTGTGGGGGAGTTCACGAAGGCCGCTGATCTGGGACATGGGTTGAGGGGTCTCCTCGGGGGCTACCCTAGGCAACTCCACCACAGCCTGCTGCTCTGTGGGGGACAGGATGGGGCACAAAGGGGCTGGTTTGCCTCGGGGTCACCCTAAGCTGGCCACAGCTCTGGATTCTGACGAGCTTCAGGAACAATCTAGTTACCCAAGTGAGCTCAGAGCAAAGCCCCCGCCTGACCCCTTTCTCCCATTCATGGCCCAACTCAGCGATGCCCTCTGCTTGGCATGGCTGTCAGGCACTTGAGGTTGGCATTTTCCTCTAATCCTTCCATTCCATGCCCCAAGCTGAAGATCTGGATGTCTGGTACTCTCTATTCCCT